AGAAGAGCTAATCCAAAAACAAAATATAAACAAGAAGTTAAAAGAAAACAGAATAGCAAATTATACAAAAACTAAGTAGAAGACTACACAAATTTGTTCTTCTATACACATAGTTCTTTCAAAAGACCTAGTCTGGAAAAAAAATTAGAGGTAACAAAATGAGTGCTAGTTGAATGCAAATAGACAAGGAAGAAAAAATAAAAATTGATGAAGGCTACTTCAGAATGCAAAACTGGCCATCGTCAACTAAAGTAAAACTGTTGACAATTTAAAGAATTTTTTTAATCACATCTAGAAATAGTAAAGTCAAAGTATATATGAATAGTATAGCAGCAATAGCAGGAATAAATAGAAGACTAAAAATTAAGACCAACAAACAATGGCTTAAAAAAAAAACTATAATATAAAAAGAAGCATAATAGAGATTATAAATCTCAAAGTGTTACAACTAGGATTAGTTAAAATTAAAGGTCATAGCAATAATAGATAGAATAATTTAGCAAATAGTTTAGCAAAATTAGGTAGTAACTTAGAAAATAGAAATAAAATAGTTAAAAGAACACTATAAAGTAGAAATGTTTTCATATATTAGAAAGATAATACAATAGAAGCTCCAACAAGACAATTTTTGAAAGTTGTTTTTGATCTTAAAATAGGTACAGAATGAAGATTTTTATAAGGCATAAAGAAGCTAGAACTAACTAACAAGACAAAAAAATACAATTGGCTACCTTTGTAAAAAAAAATTGAAGATTAGAGTGAAGTAAAATATACAAATATAAAAAAGAAACAAGCAAATCAGAACACTGATAAAGTATTTGAATGAAAAGTTACCTTTACTAATATATTAGTAGAGTGATGTCCAGATTTTTATACAAGCTCATGTTGTATTCTGGTTAATGAAAGAAAAGAGAAAAACCAAAAGCATATAGCAATCATGAAAGAGATTAACAAAATATAGAAAAAACCCAATCAACCTGGCATAATTGGCACTAATAGATGAATTACAAAAGAACTTAGATAAAGAAAAACTTAAAGAAATCATGTAAAAAAGAACCAAAAAAAAAGAAAAAGAGTAGATATAAAATAAATAAGAAAGTAATTCATAAAAAAGTTACAAAAATGATTCAAGAACTAACACAAATACTGACAGAAATAAAAAATTTTTTGTGAATATTAGTAAACATAGCATGAAATGACTTTTACAAGAATATATAGAAGAAATGATGTGAAGTAGTTGTTGTTTAAGAGAAAGTACTAGGAATAGGTCTAAAAGAAAAGAAAAAATATAAAAAACAACTATTTACATCAAAAAAAACAAGAGCAGCAACATCAAATAAGTAAACTTTAATTCAAAAAAAAGAGAAGATAAAGAAAAAAAAAAGAATAATAATAGAATACAAGAGTTATAGCTAGGGTCAATTAGAAATTTTGTTAATAATAATATAAGATCCTTTTTCTATGGCCTCAAAGACTAGCTTGGTATAACTTCCAGATATGGATAATTTCCTAACTAATATAACAGACCACCTCTAGACATTTTTGAAGTAGTTGAAGGATGTTGAACCAAAATTTAAATATAATTGTATATACCAAATGTATATTAAATACTTAATAAAGGTAAATAACAAGGCTGCCAAAGTTTAAAAAAAAAAATAAATAAAAATAGTTATATTATATAGTAGATGAATAAAAGAATCTTTTTTTTTATTTTTTTTTTTGTTAAATATCATACTTTGTAATGATACTTATTGATTTATATTGGGTTAATTATTATAACTATTTTTACAGAGATGAGAGTACAACTAGTTATGTGTATAACTTTTGATTAACTATTTAAATAGTCTGCTCTAAGATTCTATACTAGATGCTATATTTATAACCTATTAGAAGATTATTTATTTAAACTCTCTGATCATCTGTCCTGTTATAATATAACTCCAACTAACTCCTATATATATCTAACTTGTATACTGTCTAAACAGTATGATATCTACTCTTTTTGTACTAGTTCCTAGGTAATTATATATTTTAGAATACATTATTTGCCAGTAAGATGCAAGAGGCCCTTCATTGTTAACTATCTATTTACTTTTAGAACATTAACAAGAGCTACCCTTATAATGTTTACCCAGATCTTGGCACTGACTTTATAGTATATCTTTAGTACTTTTAATATATTTCTGCTTTGATCTCAGACTTTCAATTCAAATAATCCAAAAAGATTGTGATCTGTCCTTGGTATATTAAGACTAACCCAATATCCTTTTCTTCTAGTTTGAAATCTGGTGATTTGGTTAGTAGTACCTCTTATTCAAGGTTCTTGCTTGTCCAATTCCTTCATATTGGTATCTATTTCCTAGGTTTAGTTTTTACAGTAATACTGTTAAAGATTTGTATTACTTCTCTGCTCAGAATTTCTTAGTAAGCTTTAGCTTTTTAGTTTTACAGATTTATATAATGAAGTACTTATTTTAGGCTTGCATTGCCTGATACTAGTTTGTATTTTTCTATGTAACTAAGGTTACATGGATGCTCCAGACCTGTCAGTCATATTAGTGTGATTATAGTTATAGGTATTCTATCCTAACTAATCGACAGAATGTTATCATCATAATACTGTTTATATATTATATAAATAATTATCTAAATTTTATTGTCAGTGTGTTTTAACTTAAAAGCTATCACTTGAAGGTATGACAACTTATCCACTTCACTAAGTTATTACACTTAGATAAAAGAATTTTAATTAGCTATTAGAAATATGATACAGCTATATAATACTGAATAACATCTATAATATTACTATTATTTTACAAATTTCAAGTATTCTTATACAAGTTTTATGTATTCTATTATCAAATTACTATATCAAGTACCACAATACAAGAATCTCAAATATTTTTGACATGAACCTCAAGTGTCTTCACACAAACTCCAAGTATCTCTGCACAAATTCTAAGTATTTTTGTATGAATCTAAGTATCTAAATACAAGCCTCAAGTATTTTAAATACAAATAATAAATAACATAAACAATATTATTAGTTGTCTCTGTACAGTCCTCATTATTCTAAGCACAGTATTATTTAATATTGTTCAAACTTTTACTTTCTCAAATACAATGATATCTATTGTTGTTTGAATCTTCATTACATTAAATATAGTATCATGTAAAGTTTCTCTAATTACTACTATTCCTATTAGATAAAAAGATATATAAAAAGTACCTTTTTCTTTTTTCTGCCAATTCTAAGTTTCTATACTTTGATCTAAATCTTCTTACCTTTATCTCTAACTTGTAAAAGTGATATTCTTCTTCTAGGATAATTCTTATAAACAAGGTTGTTATTGTGTATTTATTTAATAAAGTTAATCTATATACTGTTATTATCTTAAACTGTTTGTTTGCTACTATGTAGTAAAATGAATTACTATACCTCTACTTTGTATATATTTGTAATAGTCAATTACTGTACTGAGTAACCTTATTACTTAGTTGTATTGTACCAAGAAGGCTACAACCCTATAACAATACTTTAATATATTTTTATTTCTTTTATTAAATTTTCAATTCAGATAATGTATATAGAATTATGAACAGTTTATCAGTATATTAGATCAAGCTAATATTTTTTTTTTTCTAGTTTATTTTAATAATCTAGTTGGTAATATCTCTAAGACTTTTAACCCAAAGGTTCTTGATTATCTAACTACTTTGATATAAGTATTCATTTTCTAGATCTAATCTTTATAGTAGTACTATTAAATATCTGTATTATCTTTTTATTTAGGTTTTTTTTAAATAAACTTCTTGTTTCTCAATTTCTATGAATTTATAATCACAAAGACTTATCTTGGATTTGCATTACCTAATACCAGTTTGTATTTCTTTGTATAATCAATTATACAAATACTTTATGACCTACCAGTCATGCTAGTATGATCATAATTACAGGTATCCTAATTCAATCATTAAGAACAGTTGCTGTAATACAAGATTATATAAATGAGTATACAAATTTTTACCATCAATGGGTTTTGAACTTACAACTTATCACTTGAAAGGTTGACAACTTATTTAGTATAACTTGTATTCTGTATTATTACTAAAAAATCTTAAAAAAAAAATCAATGTAATGTATTTTTAATTGATTGGGTGCACATAGATATAACTTAAACATATTTATTTTCGTAACGAAATCTAGTTGGTGGATCATACATGGATCATCAACCAACATTATGTAAGCTGACGGGTAAATAGATGCACATCTGCTTTGATGAAAAATTAAAGTTTTTGTTTTTAACTTTTTAACTTGCATAACAGCTGATTACTTTGCTTTACAAACAACTAGTGTTCCTTGTGAATGATTTTTCTTTGTAGCAAAGAGCACTATTGATTTCACCCAACATTGTCTTCTAGATCAGACAGTCAGAGCTTCTTTATGCCTAAAAAGTTGGTTAGAAACAGGAATTTTAGAATAAAAAAATTTTTATTTATTTTTTCTTTATTTTCGTTCAATATTAATTAAAATAGAGGAATTTTATTATTATTTTTTTTTAAATGTTAAATAAAGGATTTATTATTATCATTATCGTTATCACTATAACTATCTCTGATGTATGTAAATTTATATCACATGTTTAAACTTGAGTCTGAGTTTGATACTGACTCGACGAGTCAGTTAGGACAGATCATTTAACATCCCTAGTCCTTAGTAAACGCGTTGAAAAGTGGTTTAGCATAGCGGGCTTTATTATCATCTCATCAAAATAAAGTCTTATTACTGTAATATCTGACTAATAAAATTCTACTTTATAACATCACTATAAATAAATATATATTTAAATCTATCAAAACTGTAACCACAAATATTCCAATGAAATTTTCAATTAATTTTGTTTCATAATCCTTAGTTTCAAAAAAGGTTTGTTTTTATTAAGCGTTTAATATAAGAAAAATATAGATATTTTGGTTATTTATGAAGACTTAAAAATACATTAAGCACTAATTAGCCTATCATTTTCAAGTTTCCTGGTCTAGGATAGAACTGTAAACCACAGTCCTCCGTTACTAATTCTCTTCCTGTTGCTCAAACCGCATTCGTACCATACGGTAATGTTCTAATTCTTTCTCAGAAACGGAGGGTATAAGTTCTTTCAAAGCTTTTTCAAAATCCTCTTGTGTAACTTCTACAAGAATATCATCAGATGTTGCGAGATGATTAAGATAGTATTGTGATGTTACGGGTTTGGGGAGGTTGGGTGTTGGATTGGAATTCAATTGAACTATTAAAAATTATAGAATAATTAAGCGATAAATACTATATATCTATATATTGAGATTGCTAAAAAATATTTAATATTACGTACAAACTTTGGCTTCTATTGCCTCGGCTGTTCTTGACATGGCTTTCAACATAGCATCAGAACATAAAGCATAGAAATCTGCTCCAGTATAGTTAAATGGACATTTTTCTGCTACAGAACGGAGGACCAATGATGGGTGTAAGCGGAATCTAGTAAAAAAATATACATGTGTTATTCAAACATCATATGCGTACGTAATTTAAAATATTAACCATACTTTCTTGTAAGTGCCTGAATGATTTTAAGTTGTGCATCGTGGTCTTCACTAACTCCTAGATAAAGCAATTTGTCAAAACTGAAAAGGAGAAAGTTATAATCTAATTATATTGATGTACGTATAAATTATTCAAAAAATGTAAATCTATCGAAAACACAAACCGTCCAGGTCTTAGTAATGCTGGATCTAACAAATCGGGTCGATTTGTTGCACCAATAACAAATACGTCTGCTGCCCCACCTCCTTGCCCCATTCCATCCAATTCAGCCAAAAGTTGACTAACAATTCTATCCATTACACCACCAGAGTCTCCTTTCTCCCCTCTTTTTGGAGCAACAGAATCCAGCTCATCAAAAAATATTACACAAGGTTTAGCATCTCTTGCGCGTTGGAAAATGCGTCGAACATTAGCTTCTGATTCTCCAATGTACATGTTAAGAAGTTCAGGACCTTTTACAGAAAAGAAATTAAGAGAACATGAAGTGGCAACAGCCTTGGCGAGAAGTGTTTTTCCGGTTCCTGGTGGTCCATAGAGCAGTATTCCCGATCTTTTCTTCATTCCACTAGCGAACAATTCTGGATGTTCAAGTGGTAGTTGTATAGTATCTAATATATTATTTTTTACAGATGCTAGGCCCCCAACATCGTCCCATGTTACATTCGGAATTTTTGGGGCGCCAATACTATCTGAATATGAAGCTCTAGCTTTGCCGAGAGCATCATTAAAATCAGCTGCCGTTAGAGCAATTCCTGCACGAATCAGATCAATATCTTTTAGTGATTGTTTTGTTTTTTTCACGACATTTTCTACGCGTTCCAGTGCTGCCAAGCCTGCTCTCGCAACTAAATCAACCAAGTCATTGGCGACTAATGCAGCGGTTTGTGTTGCTAGTGATGACAACGAAACATCCGGAGCGACCGATGTTTCACTTGTCAACTGCTTTAAAATTTCTAATCTTACTGCTTCAGATGGAGCTTCGAAAACAATTTCATGCCTAAAACAACCAATCACGCTGGAAGGTACTTTATCAATATCACCTGTCGTACCCACTACTAAAACTGGATATCCAATAGTTTGGAAATTTTCAATCAATTGTTTAAAAGACTCTTGTAAGATAATAGAAATTGTAGGTTCTTGACCAGTCTCCAATACAGCACTTTTCCTAGCAAGTGCATCAATATGACGTAATAATAACACACAAGGAGAACAAGTCACAGCTTTATCAAGTCTTGAACGAAGAGACGTTTCTGTTTTTGTATCAGTTTCACCCGCAAAGTCAAAGCAATTCACCTCATAAACATGAATACCAATTCTTTCGGCAATCCATTCGACTGCTGTCTTCTTGCCACAGCCACGTGGACCATGTAAAAGAACAGTACAGCTGAGGTTAAGTGACACAGCACTTGGATGTAGGCACGAAGAAATAAGGTTGAAAAGTCGAGATTGAGGTGTCTCTGATGATGTTAGAAATGGATTTAAATCTAACCGGTTCAAAACCTTGGGATTCATATAGCGTTTCACGAAAGGCACTTTAGAATGTACCATCCCAGTTTGAACCATTTCAGTACAATTATGGTCTACGCGCATTCCATATCCATATTTCAAGTGTATTTTCGCATTCTTGTGTTTCATTTCTGAAATTTTGAAATATACTACAGTTCCAGGGTTGATTGGTGACGTTGCAATATCCATGTCTTCTAATGTCTCAATATCACCTTCAATTTTTTGTGGTCTTAACCGTGCAGCTTCCTCTATTAATGAAAAAGTAATGTTAATAAAATAGACGTTGACAAAAAAAAACATTATAAAAAACTTACCATCAGTCAGTATTGCTATAATATCCCCTTCGCAAACTATCCTATCAGCTTCTTCAAACCAGTTTTTAAGTCCATTAATGCTTGCAGTGTGGATAGATCTATCAGTAGACGATGGTGACGCCACCCTTGCCACGTAAATACTTCTAGTAACAGGAGGTGGTGATTGATTTTGTTTAGTTGGCTGAATAAATAGACATTCATTTGATGTCGTTTCACCAAACCCAAGATTGAAATGAAGCATTGGTGTGACGTAAACTGATGCCAATGCATCTCTAGATAGTTTCATCATTAAATATAAAATCAGAAATAAATTTAAATGAACATAAATTATGAGTATAAATAAACAGATATCATACGTTGAAGCTATAGGAACATCAACAGCATAAACCTTGCACATCCTAGATTTTTCAATTTTAGGTCCTGATACCAAAGCCTTTTATGCATAAAAAAAAACAAATTAAGTATGAAATGAACATAAAATATTATAAATAATCATATAAAAAAAAAACACACCCAACTTCCACTTTGGAAACCCAACCTCGCGAGTTCTTTCAAACTTATGAGGATCCTTGATTCCGGATCTTCTTTTTCATTCGGAGTTGGTTGCAATAATTTACTTGGAAAGGGATACGATAAAATGACAGGAGTAAATTTTGATTTAGTCGGAAGTGGGACAACATTATTCCAACTTTCATCATCAGATGATGCAACTGAAGAAATGTAGTCAGACTCATCACCATCCAGTTCTTCTTGATCATTAGCTTCAAGAAGTGCTAACTGAGTGGTCATATAATCATCCTTTAAATCTAATATGTCTTGATCTAACAACTCATTTTCGACGGTAAATTCAGTAGTATCTGCATCAAATTCATCATCATATTCGTGATCATTTAAATAATAATCTTTTGAAATATCAGTTATAATAAAGTTCGTATGATCCTTGACAATGCCTTGCAAAACTGGGCCGCATATCAAAATTTTAAATCCAAAATAAGAATCAGAGTTCGAAGATATAGGTAAATTATTAAGTCTATAAATTTGGCCATAACGAATGATAATTGGCGGGGACAAGTGAAGGCAATTAAATATAGTAGAAGAGTCTTACAGTTTGTAAGATCCGATGGCGAAAGTCAGTCGTAAAAAATATCAGAGAAATAGCATTAGAAAAGATATTCATAATCTTAATCGGACAAAAAATTTTCTTACCTACTAATCAAAAACTTGCCATCACACACCTCTTAATAGTGCTTCATAAGACTCGTAATCCAAAGCGCCAATTATCACTTCATCCAACTCAACTGGTCGTACATTAATAATATCCACCTCGATTCCATTGACAAAATTATTTTGTTTAGCAAACTTTGGTGAGACATAACAAACATGATCCTTGTTAGGAAAGGAAAGGAAAGTTTTAGCATAAATAATTCTTGGTGCTGTAATTAGTGTAAATAAGGAACCTACACTAGATATGAGTTCATGGTGTTCAGGATAATGGCACTTCCCGAAGGCAATAACTGAAGAGTTTGTAAGAGACTTATTTTTATGTGACCGCAATGGATTGTTTTTATTGACGTCAATTTGGCTAATTGAGATACATATTGTACCTTGAGGATCTAAATAATTCAGAGAACATTATAAATAAAATAATAATAATTATAATTATAATAAATAAAAATTTTACATTCATAACATTCTTCTAGAATTAATTCATTCCACAAATTTTCGCTTAAACCTACTGTGAAGTCATTATCGAAAATTGGTTTTTTAGCTACGATAATTTTCTTCATTGTACGAAACCAGGTGTGTTGTAAGAAACATTTTCTAACCTCAGGTTTTCTTATCTTGGCCAATCAAGGAATGAGATCAACTAACTTCTAACTTTCTTCTGATTGGTCAATCACTTACAATTGTATTATACAGTGTAACATTTCACACCATCTCTATCAACCTAGAGGTGTTCTACTTAGAAGAACGTATAGAACTATATGTGCTTATTAAATGGTCGAATGTATTTGACTTAGTAAAAAAAAAACTAGATAAAACGTTTGGCACGCTCTTGGACCGAACTTTTATGACGCGTACTTGGAGAACAACAAGAAAAAGTGCATTTATGGAAGTCATGTATATATTTGGGCCTGAACTTAAGCGTGTGCACTTATAGAGGGTGCACTTATGGAAGTTTCATATATAGTTTTTAAAACAGTGTAAAGAATTTTCACGTATTACGTATGTAAAAACGGTTAATTACAAGGAATTAAACCTTGAAAAACTTAAAGGATTTAATTTTTCATAATAAACGTTGGTTTAAGAAAATATATTTGACCTTTTTCGTATAACAAAACTAATTTTTACCAGTATAATTTTATTGGCTCATTGTCACATGCTGACGCATATGACCAATAATAGTGCGGGAAAGTTAGCCTATGGTTCTTTCCCGAGGGAAATTAGAACATACCTAATCCTTCACGTGGTTTCCTTTTTTATAGCAGTACAAAGAATCATTGTACAAAATATAATAACAATGTAATATTAAATAACAAGGGTATCTAATCATACGTACTTCATCTTTAAAGATAAGCTACAATGTCCGCTTTCGTTTCGAAACGGTTATTCACAACTCTTATTCCAGTATCAACTAGGTTAGCCTTACCTCACTATACCAAAAGATTACCTTTAAATTTACAACAATCTTTTTTTAAGTCGACGCTCTCTGATGCAAAAACCACTGACATTAATGTAAGCTCACTTCATTTCTGATCTTTTACTAGAGACACTATTACAAGTCTTGGTTACAAAAAAATATCCTTTTACCAGTATTTTCATATTCCTCGAATTTGCCATTTGCAGAAAATAACTTTTATCGTTACTTGTCAAATACTCTTACCCAAACATATACCACCACTATGAATTAAATTAATGGTTAAACAGCATAGAAGACTTCAGGTCAAATTATCCGAATCTTTAAAACCCCTTATTCCAAGCAAGGATCTTATATTTGGGCGACACTTTACCGATCATATGCTAACGATCGAATGGAATAGTAAAGATGGGTGGTCTGATCCAATTATCCAGCCTTTTGGCAAGATTTCACTTGAACCTAGTGCTATGGTATTCCATTATTCTTTTGAATGCTTCGAAGGACTAAAAGCTTATAAAGATAAAAATGGGAAATTACGATTATTTAGACCAGACATGAATATGAAGAGACTTAATAGATCTGCTGCAAGGCTTACATTACCTGTGAGTATAATTTGGGATGTTATTGGAGTAGATATTGAAATTTTGATCGGTCGAACCTAGTAGATATTTTTATTATATACTTTTTTTCACGTCTTTAATGTTATGATGATTATATCCTATAAAAATAATTTAACTATTTAAACCAGGGATTCAGCGAAGATGAATTATTAGAGTGTTTAAAAAAACTGATCCGTTTAGAGGAACGTTGGGTTCCAGCCGAGAGAGGATTCTCATTATATATACGTCCTACTCTTATTGGTACACAAGCTTCTCTAGGAATAGGTCCCAATTCTAGAGCACTTCTATTTATTATTTGTTCTCCTGCGGGGCCATATTACAAGACTGGATTTAGTGCTGTTAAATTATTGTCTACATTTGAAAACGTAAGAGCATGGCCTGGTGGAACTGGTGATGCCAAAATTGGTGGAAACTATTCTCCATGTGTTAGACCGCAAATAGAAGCTGCCGAAAAAGGTTATCAGCAAAATTTATGGCTGTTTGGTCCTGATGATGAAATAACTGAAGTGGGTACGATGAACTGCTTTGTTCTTTTAGATAATGAATATGGTGGTATGATATTATTTATCAACTTTTTATCTTGATACAATTATATAGACAATTCAAATTTTAAAATTGTTTATTATTAGAAACTGAACTTGTGACACCGCCCTTAGATGGTACCATTCTCGCTGGTGTGACTCGTGATTCAATATTACAACTGGCTCGGACGTGGAATGAGTTCAAGGTCTCAGAACGTAAAATTACCATGTCCGAGGTAGTAAATGCTTTGAAACAGGGTCGCTTGAGAGAAATGTTTGGTTCTGGCACCGCATGTATTGTCACTCCTATTAAAATAATTAATTATCGTGGAGAAGATTTAGCAGTGCCTTTAGATCCAAATGATCCTTCAAGTAATGCAGGACCTGTGACTCGACGAATTTCTGACACGTTAATGGGAATACAATATGGTGAAATACCTCACGAGTGGTCTGTTGTTTTGAATTAGACATTATGAGGATTATTTCTTCTGGAAAATAAATTTGAACTGGTGTGTCAAGTATTTTAGCGAAGGTCGACAGATGGATCTATCTAATTTTGTAAGATGACTAAATTTATTATTACTATTATTATTCTCATTTACTTAATTTTTCTCCTTGTTTGTATTCTCATATTACCTATCATAATGTCTTGATATCTAACCACTTTAATTAATAGAATTTATATTAATGATGCATTTATACAATGATTGGTCATAAATATCTGACACATTTTCCGAGTAATTAGATAAATCTAACTTTTTTTTACAAAAAAAAAAGAAAAACGGCGCCAGTTTAATGTGTCATATATTTGTGAATAAGTATCACGAAATCGCATGGATGAAATCTTATTTATACATATTATCGAATATTATTATTTGCAACGCGTTTATCCCTTAAATAAGTGAATTATTATTTTTATTGGTATAATTCAAATTAATGTTCTTCTGTAAGTACTGTTATTTACCTTGATTTTTGGAATATTAAAATTATTTTAAATATAAACTGAGGAAATAATCCCAAGAAATTTAATGTGTTATATGGTACCTCTATAAAAAAGCATCCAAGAGACGTCATTCATTCCTCCTAATTTCGTTTAATACCCGGAGTATGACCTAATGATTTTATCATTTATATCATGTTCTCCGATTTTTGGAATTTGAATTATGGTTTTTTAGGGTTTACTTTTAAAGCTTTTAAAGCAAACCTTAAAAACCCTAATTCAAATTCCGAAAATCAGCATACGTAGAGTTCTCGAGCAACACCCGATATGAAACGTACAGTAGGCTCAAAAGTATATCACGGTTACACAGAAAACAACAGATTTTATAAATTCAATATTAATATTTTACTATTATGCAAATTAGCATTACGCAAATTAATATTATATGCAAATTACAATATATAATGATATAATATACACTGGCGATCATAAATAATGCAACAAAAAAAAAAATTTAGTCGGATCATATTATCTTACGCAATTCCGGGCGTATTTGTTAATTTTTTTTTTATTTTATTCGCAAATAGAAATATTTCATTAATAAAAAAGATTTAAAAATTTAGTGATCAAAATTTTTTTTTTATTTTTTTATATATATATATTAACGGTGAGGGTGATCAAAATTTTTTGGGGGCACGAGCTTTATTTCAATATACATGTTGCATTATTTTTGCTCATTTTAATAGCAACATGATTGTAAAGTAAAAAAATTTTTTTTTATATAAAAAAAAAATTTTTTTTTTTTCTAATAATTTTTAGTCATCACCATCTGGTGTAGCCATCCTAGGTTCTAATTACATCATGGATTCATTCTAGTATTGAATGAATTAACTTCATGTAGTTTTTTTATCTGACCTTTTACATATCTCTTAAAACAAAAACAAATTAAACCTTACTATATCAAATCTTTACTACAATAATCAAATAATACTTCTACATAAGTCTTATAAAACTATATGATACTTTGGTATCTATTTTGATGGAAATGGTTCAACTAAATCAACATATAAGATGCTTAAAAACAAAATCAAAAATTTTCTTGTTCTAATTAAATTCAAAAAACTCACATCTAAACAAATTTTTACTTTTTGTAATATAATATTATAATTATCTACAGGTCAAATAAATAAATAAAGAATGAATAATAGGTAAATAACAGAAAAAAAATCTGCCATTATTTTATTCTATATCTGTCAAATAATAGTAGTATAATAGCAACATAATAGTAGAATAACAATAAAATAACAGAAGGTTTGTCAATATAAGTAACATAACAGTAACATAATAGCAAAATAATAGAACAGTTCCATTATTTTACTTTTAGTCTTTGTAACTAAAAGTAAAATAATAGA